ACTGAGAATATAATTAGTTCTTGGGACAGAGGGAGGTGCACGCGCTGCTGAAAATAATTATACGCGCATGGGGCTTATGATCTTCATCATCATGTAAGCGCACCGCGGCAAGTGAAGGAAGCTTACTCCCTGACTTTTACCTCAGTTACCTCGCAAAGGTGTGAGTCCTCGATTGAGCCCGTAGGGACTTAGCCACTCGAAGACAAGGATGGAGGCTCCCGTGGCGTGCACGCTGAAGATAAGGATGAGGGACCAGGACGCATAGTCATAGGGCTCTGTCCGGAGGTGGGCATGAGAGATCAAGGAATGAGAGAGGGTCAGGCCACAAACTTAGGGGGGGAGACAATGGCGTGGCACTGGACGGCACAGCCAGATACTGAAAAAAGGTCCACAGTCAGAAAGACAGACAGGCCGACAGACATACAGGCAGGCAGACTGTCAGACAGATAGACAGAGAGAAAGATAGACAGATAGACACATAGGCAGTCTGAAAGACAGATGGGCAGACAGGCAGATAATCTCCTCAACGTCCATGGTCGAAGTCTGTGTCTTCATGGAGACTGTAAGCTGTGGATTCTTTTTTTAATGTGTTAAGTGGTATTTTGGAGAGGATTTTTTTCTTTCTACGGGGAATTGCTCTTCTTTAAAGGTCTTGTCTAAATAATTTACTTTCGTAAGTACCACGTCTAATCTTTCGTGGAAAGCTGCTCTTCCTTATTCAGGAAACTGGCTACAGTTGGAGCGATATTTGACATAACAATTATTTATTGGTTATTGTTTTATTAAAGCTAAGCTAAGTAAGTGTCCGACATGCGTTTTGTTTTACTCTAGTCTTGCAAGCAGAAACCTTTTAAAGTTTATAATATTTGGTTTGCAAAAGCCCCTTCTTGTTGTGTCCAAAACTTTGTTTCGGAAAGCTGACGACAAAAAAAATGACACACATAAAATTGTGATGGTGGGTACAGAATAAACATTCTGTTTTATTTTTCTAAAAGATAAAGACGACTTTTATACTTGACAGTTTAGAACCTTCCTTTAATGTGTAGAACTAAAACTGGTTCTTGACTCAAACCTAGCCCTTAGTTTAATGTACATTTTAGCTTTTGTTTGTTTATTTGTCTTTTAA